AATTATTAGATGAAGAAAATAATGAATTTAATAAATGCATTAAGAAAGCTGTATTTTTTAAAATTTTATTAAAATTATGACAATTATTTGTCTTAATTTTACTATTTTGTAATTTACAGAAATTGGATCCAAAAAAATTATTTTATAAAAATATATATTTTTTTAGTTGAAGATTATAAAAAAAACAAAAAAGATTTACAGAAAAAAATAAATTAAATACAGATAAATATTGAGTAATTATTATCAAAACATTAATAGATATTGAAAAATATCTATTGTATTATAAAAAACATTTAACTAATTACTCATTTTTTGCACCTAATTATAGTTTAGTTGAAGATGCTAAGAAATATAGTATATAGAATCAGAAAGTTAATTTTGATTTAAATAAAATTAATTATATATTACAAAAAGAATATCATTTAAAAATTGATTAAAAATTAATTTATAATACTATTATTAAAGCTTTAAATAAAAATAATGCAAATGATGAAAACAATACAACTAAACAAAAAGTTTTTTTTTGTTGATAAACCTAGAAGTACAGAAAAAAATTTTTATTTAACATACTATTGACATGAACAAGAAGAAGTTTTAAAATTGCTCTTGCTGTTGCTTTATCTGAAATTGCAGCTTGACTATTAACTAAAGAAAAAACTATATATTTCAGATTTAAAATTTCTTTAAAAGTTACTGAAACTATAACTTTAAATGTCTAATTTGACTAATTTAATACAAAGTAATAAGCTTATTATTTGGGATAAAGAATCAATGATATACAAATATGCATTTAAAGTACTTGATTGTACACTCAAGGATCTAATAGAAAATAATAAACTATTTGAAAAAAAATTATTATAATTAGTGATGATTTTAGACAAATTTTGTTTGTTGTACCTTGAGAAATACAATTACAAATTGTTAATAATTATATTAAATCTGCTTATTTATAGAAATCTATTAAAACATTAGCATTAATAATTAATATAAGACTTTAAAGCCAAGATAAAGAAAAAAAAAAATTTGCTGATTATTTATTAAAAATTAATAAAGATCATAAATCAATATATATTAATATTGGTAATAATAATGTGAGATTGAATAATGATATGATCTTTAATAATGAACAAATTAAATCATTAATATTGGATATATTTTCTGATATTAATAATAATTATCAAACTAATAATTATTTAAATTATATTAAAGATCGAGCTATTCTTATATTAAAAAATAAAAATGTAAATTATATTAATAAGTAAATTATTAATATATTTTTAGAATATTCATATAAATTTTTATTAGCAGATTCTGTTGAGAATAAGAATTTAGTATATCAAAATCTTTATTTAGTTAAATTTTTAATACTTTGATACTAAATAAAACTTCTTCTTATAAATTAATATTAAAAGTTAAAGTTCTAATAATTTTATTATATAATATTAGTTCTAGTAAAGTCTTTGCAATGGAACTAAATTAATTATTAAAAAAATTTAACAATATATTATTGATGCAGAAATTGTTACAGACTTACATCTTAAAAAATGAGTTTTTATTCCTCAAATTTAAATAGACCTTCTAACTCTAATTTACTATTTTAATTAATTCAACACCTGTTTTCAATATGTTTAGCCTTTGCAATGACTATTAATAAAGTACAAAACTGAACAATTTTATATGATAGTTTATATTTGTCAGTATCTATACTTGCTTATAGACAACTATATATTGCTTTATTTAGAGTTAAATTAAGAAAAAATATTAAAATATTAGTTAAAAATATGCAAAACAATATTATAATTAGAATATTTACAAAATATATTATATATAAAAAGATTTTTAAATAATTACATTATATATATTATATATATTATATTTATTATATTTATTTACTACTATATTTATTTATTATTAAATTTATTTATTGTATAAATTATATTGATTATATTTTATTTATATATTGTATAAATTATATAAAGAATTGCTATTTCCACCTCTTATTTTGCTAATGCCACCTTCCAAAATACATAAAAGTGCTCCAAAAGAGATATTATTATTAAGTAAACTTCTTTTTAAATATTAATTAAAGTTGTTCATTAGGTCTTTTCAGTTCTAATAGTAGTAAAATTACTAAGTTTGAACTAGTAGTTCTTGCAATATTTATATCTAAAGGTTATAATCTTTAATCTACTTTTAAAAAAGAACTACCAGTTTGATTTTAATAATTTACCACTATTAAAACTGGAAAGGTCAAATGACCAACTTTAATTAATATCAAAAAAGAGGTTTACTTAATAATAATATCTCTTCTGGATCATTTTTATATATTTTAGAGAGTAGTATTAGCAAAAAAAAAGGGTGAAAATAGCAACTCTTATTATATATTTTGTATATTTTATATATTTTGTCTATATTATTATTTTTTTTTTTAAGCATTAAGGTAAGTACATGCAACTTAAGATTTTATTAGTTGTCTGGAGTGTAGCAAAGAACTTACATTTTCAGTAATACATATATCATGTGATTATTATATATACTAGAGGCTATTAGCAAAATTTGATGTTTGTCACACAGATTATTGTCTATCTGTCTGACTACATAATTAATTAATATAAAATTAAAACATTTGATTGGCTGTTACAAATCAATTTTTGCTTCAGACTTATAACAGTTCCTGTTTTTTTAGTAATATATATTAACAAGCATCTGTTAATATAACAGTATAAAGGTAATTATAAAAAGAGTGTATAACTAGGCACTTATAAAACTTTAGTTATTGTCTAATTTAAGTAGTTCACTTAAAGATTTTACACTAAATGCTATATCCAGAACCTATCTGTAAGTTCTCTATTTAAACATTCTGATTCTGTATTCACTACACCTTATCAATAACTCTGATAAACTGATAAAGATATGCTATAGCCACTAAGTTATATTTAATTTTGTACTAAACCTACTAGAGTCTTCTGTATTCTATACTTATAGCTGACCTGGTTTTACTTTGGCCTAGATTATTACTTGCAATCAAAACTAATTATTAAACTTTAATACTCTTGTAAGGTTTATCCAAAACCTCAGTATTCATCTTTTAAACATCTTTTTCATTATTCTTTACTAACTACTACTTAGAACCAACATAACTCTCCAAACTTCCAATTCAGATAGTTCAATATGATATGTCTTAGTATTTTTTTTCTTTAGCAATTTTAGTAGCCTAGTTGGTCATATACTTTTTTATACATTTTGCTATCTGATTTATCTATCTATCTCTTTGGAGGTATTTTATAGACTTTTATTAGTCTGACAGCACTGTTAAAAGTTTTGTACTACCTTCTTACTTGGAATTTCTAAGTAGATTTCTGACTTTTTAGTTTTTTTGCTTTTTGTACCTAGTAGTCTTATTATAAGTTTGCACTGAAGTTTTATACAACACTGATTATTAATATTCCTTTATATAGGTATTATATTACACTTCATATAGATGCTTCAAGCTTTTATTTAAGATAATACAACTGAAGGTTACAGATATGCCAATTCAACTAATCAACAGAAATAGTTATCATAATATAGATATAAATTCCAAATTTGTCATTTGTAAAATTTGAACTCTAAACCTATCACTTGAAGGTTGACAACCTGTTCACTTCACTAGATTTTTTTTTTCACTTTGGCAGTCTTGCCAATACTTTTTATTAAGCTTCATGTTTGTATACAAACAAATTTAGACTTAATATGCTGAGTCAACATTCTGCAGTTACTTCTATAAGCACTTACAAGTGATTTGATATACTAGTTGCCTAATTTCTTAAAGAAAAAAGGAGGTCTGAAAGGCTCATCTGACTACTGCTCTACAATAGAGTATTACCAATCTGATAACTTTTTTTTATAAGAAAGTAAAAGAAGAAAAAAAAATACTAAACTAAACTAAACTAAAAGAGATACAGGAAGAAAAAAGAAAAAAAGTGTCAGGAGCATACCTTATTTATAATTATTTAGGACACTAATACTTTAAACCTGTACTAAGGATTTAACTACACTTTAACCTGTGCTAAAAAGGTAAAAATTATATATATATGATTTTAGAAATTACTATATATCTCTAATTTGTTATAATTCTTCAACTTAAATCCTTCTTTATTTTTTTATTATACTGTATGTTAGACTATATATATTATTATTGTATTCTTATTACATCATGTTACAACATGTAACTGTTCAAAAAAGAAAGTGGTAAACAATGCTGATCTTTTATAGAGGGAGAGCCAATTCACCACTTTTGAGTAAGAAAACTAAAATAGAAAAAGAAGGTCAACAGATGTAATATACAAAAAGCCAAACCAAAAAGAGTGTTTCCAGTTGTTCATTTGTTTTTAAACTTTTGATAACCTTTAATCAGAGTTTTTCTCTATTGTTTTCAGAATGTTCTTTTAGTCTAGATACTAAACATGTTGGGGAGTCTACTAACAGACAAGGCTTGGTCTTAACACAAACTACCAGAAGAGTTACTTGCACCTCAGTTTTTTTACATACTTCTAGTTTATTAGCAACAATTTGCTTTATATATCTTAACAGAATCAAAGATATCATCATCTTGAAAGTATAACTCTTCAAACTGTTTTGGTGCTAGTTTGGTTTAAGTAATCATTGGGAAAAGTTGAATTATTTGGTTTACTTCACTAGATTACTACACCTCTTATTATAAAATTTTTATATTTATTTTATTATATTTAATAAATATTTTTATTATATTTGATTTTATATTTTAATAATTTATTATATAATTAAATAATTAAAACAACTCTTAAGTCTAAGATCCAAATTAATTAAAATATATTCTAAAAGTATATCTGACATTAAGTTTAAAATTAATTAAAATTAATTTCTAAAACAATACTCAGATCTAATACTTAAATTAATTAAGATTTATTTTAAAAGTTATATTTAACTCTAAAATTAAGATTTATTCTAAAAATAACATCTGAGTCTAAGGTTAATATTAGTTAAAATCTATTTTTAGAGCAATGTTCAGGCTTAATACCTAGAATAGTTCAGATTTATTTCTAAAATAACATCTAAATCTAAGACTTAGATTAGTTAATATTTATTTTTAAAACAATTTCTAAAACAAAAATCTAAATTAATTAAGATTTATTCTTGAAGCAATATTTGGACCTAAGATTTAAATTATTTAAAATTTATTTCTAAAGCAATGCACAAGCCTAATAACTAGAATAATTAAGATTTATTTCTTAAATAATATCTAAATCTAAGACTTAGATTAGTTAAAATTTATTTTTAAAACAACTTCTAAATTAAAGATCTAAATTAATTAAAATCTATTTCTAGAGCAACATCTAGACCTAAGACTTAGATTAATTAAGGTCTATTTTTAGAGCAACACCTAGGCCTAAGATTTAGATTAAATAAGATCTATTTTTAAAGCAATGCTTAGACCTGAGACCTAGTTTTATGATATATTTGCTAAAATAGATATATACAATAAATTTTTTTATATAAAAATTTTATTGCAATAAAAATATTAAATTTTTTTGCTTGCTAAAAATTAGATAATTTATATAATAAAAAAATAAATAACTTTTATTTGATAATATTTATTTATACTATGAATAAATTACTTTCAAATAAACATTTCAAAGTTTAGATGTTTACTGTTACAGCATTTAGTAATATGAATTCTGTAACAGTAATATACAAGAACTTTAGAATTTGCACAGATAATTACATAAATGCATCCAAATAACAAATAAAAATTTTCAAATTTTGTATAATGGTGTACTCTTTTTTTTAATTGTTTAAACAATACTATATATCTTTATTTATATATTCTATAATATAATAAAGTAAGTACAGTACTGTATGAACAATTAAAAAAAGAGTATAGTATAAATTTTTCTATCATACAGTATGAAATTTCTATATTCCAAGTAGGGCTATTAAAAAGTTTGTTAAACCTGATTCTTGAGTTGACTTTAAATAAACTTTTTAGAACTGACTCAAATCTGTCTTAGACAAAATTCCAAATACAAAAGATGCATATCATTATAGCATTCATGTAATTAGCTAATTTTAATAATGTCAGACAATTACCAAAAGTTTAGTTAAATGATTTGCAATACATAGGGTTTGATATAAAAGATTAGTTGCATTGTATGTTTATATATTTTTTGCTTATTAAACAATCATTATTAATTTTTTCTTAAAGAAATTTTTACATCAAAGACACAAAATTTCTTCTATATAAACATTTTATATCTCTATTAGTAGCATAAAAATAACAATTATTATAAAATTTTTAAAAGCTTAAACTGCATTCCTCTTTCATATAAAATAATTTAACAATTTATATAGCTCTAGACTCTTGATAGTATATTAATAATTACAAAATTTATATTTTTCTTTTTTATCAAAAGAATCATGTAATCTTTTATATAATAAAATTATGTAATCTATTTTTATAAGTAATTTATATGTATAAATAAGTATAGTAAAAAATTCAATAAATTGTTTAATTCTATTAAATTTTTTATTATAAATATTATAATTTTCTATATACTCAGAAGTGTTGTTTATAATAATTAGTTTTAGCATATATTGTATATTGATAATTAACTATACATAGAGAAGTAAAAGAACATATTTCATATGATCTTTAAACTTACTGCTATTATAAATATTTTTGATTAAATTACTGCAAATTTTTAAAACTAAATTATCTATTTTATTGAATTTTTATAATATAGAATGCTCAAATATGCTTGATTGAATTTTTTTTTATTTTAAAATATACAGTGTTGTATTACTTTGTATTTATACTTATACAATTTTATTGCCTTAATCAAAACTAACTTATTATGTTCAGTAACTATTTGTTTATATAAAATGACTAATTTATTAAATTATATAATTATCAAGATTTCTTCACTTTAAATAGATTAGATTAAACTAATCATTATTGTACTAAATAATTTAAAAAATTGTAAAAGTTTGTCTGAATTAAAATTTTAAATTTTTTTTTTTTAGAATATGTCATGTGCTAAGATTTTTTAAATAAAAAAAAATAAAAATTTTAAATATAATTGGTTTAAACTAAAGACAATTGCACATACTAGGTTTTTTTAAATAAACAAATAAGATTCCAAACTTAATTAGTCTGTTATAATTTATCAAATTTGCTTTTTTTGGAGTTAGACATAATTAAACAAATACACTTAATATTGCATATTAGTAAATTATGCATTTGGGATTAATATTATTAATAAACTTCTTAACCTAAAGACAATTATAAGATTACATTTACAGTTAAAATACTATATTTTATTATTGAACAACAACAATAACTTAAATTAGAAATAAAAAGTTTTGAATTTCTTTTATAATTTCAACTTTATTTTATTTTTTTAAAAAAAATTTACAAGTATCAAATAATTTTTTCCAATGTCTAATTCTAATTTACCTACTTCTTTATCTCTTGATTCTACTTCTTTATTTCTTGATTCCAGTTCTTTATCTCTCGATTTCATTTCATCTCTTAATTCTGCTTCTTTAATTTCTAACTTTATTTTTTCAAAAAATCTTAATTCTCCAAATGAAGATATTTGTGAAAGTTGTTTAAAAAATATTATTATTAATAAAATTACTAAAAAAAATAATACAAAAAAATTAAAAAAAAGAACAACACCTGTTTATGATTATCTAAAAGAACTCAATAATAATACCCATGTTTGTAAAATATGTTTTAGTATTTCTGATATTAAAGATTCTAGTAATTAGAATTCAAATATATTTTTATTAATGATATCATGACATTTCAAAAATAAGTATACAAGTATCTATAAAAATTTTAAACAAAAAAATATAAAAGTTACCTATCCTTCATATTCAACAACTAATAAAGTTGACAAAGATTATATAAAATCTTTAAATCATAATTTATATTAATTAATTATTAAGAGTCAACCAGTCTTTTCAATAATCAATAAAGATCTTTTTATTAAATTTGTTTCAAATCTCGATCTATAGTACAAACTTACATATTATCAAATGGTCTTTACAACTATTAGAAATAAATTTAAATCTATAAGAATAAAAATAAAAAATATATTAAAATCAAATCATAGTAAATTAGTGCTTATTATCGACATTTAAGGGTAGAGTATATAATTTTCAAATTATATATAAAACTTTTGGTAAATTTTTATTTAATTAAAAATAAAAAAATATTTTCTTAAGT